AAAATTAGATTTTAAATTTTATGTTATTCTTCTTATGTGCAAAGAACTGAAGCCACAAATTTTTCTCTAAGGTCTGCTTTAACCGTGTCCCACAAGCTTTGATACAGTGTTTTTATCATCATGCAGTTCAAACTAATTTCTAATTTCCATTTTGATTTCTTCTTTGACCTATGGGTCAAAACATACTTAGAAGTATGTTGATTAACTTCCAAATATTTGAAGTTTTTCTAGGTAATTTATTATTGATTTCTAATTTAACTTAATTGTGGTTAAAAAACAAACAGTATGGTTTTAACTAAGACCTATTTTATGGTGCAGGGTATGGTCTCAGTGAATGTGCTGTGTGGACTTTAAAATAATGTATAATCTGCAGTCGTATGGAGTATTCTATGAATGTAAATTAGGTCAATTTTACTGATAATATTATTTGAATCTTTCATATCCTTTCTGATTTTTTGCCCATTTGTATAATTCCATTTTCTGTGCTTTCCATTCTTTTTAGTTTTGTTCACATATATTTTCCTCTACGTGCCTTGCAAACATTACAAGATATTATTTTTTTAAAAAACTATGAACTGACTTTTAAAATGTTTAAGAAAGAAAGATAGTCTTTTATATTTAACCATGCATTTTTCATTTGATTTTTAAATGGTTGTGTAATACTTGTACATAGTTATGTTATGTATGTGATATTTTGATACATACACAGAATGTGCAATGATCAAGTCAGGGTATTTGGGATATCCATCAGCTCAAGCATTTATCATTTATTCGTATTAGGAATAATTCAAATCACCTTTTCTAGCTATTTTAAAATATATAATACGTTGTTGTTGTTAACTATAGTCATTCTACTGTGGTATTAAACATTAGAACATATTTATTCTATCTAACTACATGTTTGTACCCATTAACCAATCTTTTTTCATCCCAACCTCACATATATCCTTCCTGGCTTCTGGTAACTATCATTCTACTCTACCTCCATGAGATCAACTTATATTTAGCTCTCACATGTGAGTGCAAACATGTGAAGTTTGTCTTTCTGTAGCTGGCTTATTTTACCTAACATAATAACCTCCAGTTCCATCCATGTTGTTGCAAATGACAGGATTTCATTCTTTTTTATGGCTGAATAATGCATAAACTACTTTTCCTCTAACTATTCATCTATTGATGGACACGCATTGTTTCTGTATCTTTGCTGTTGTGAGTAGTGCTGTGATAAACATGGGGGTGCAGGTATCCTTTTGATATACTGATTTCCTTTCCTTTTGATCCATTTTCACTAGTGGGATTGAGAGCTCATCATTCTTTCCTGTACACCACAGATTTCACCTGGCATCAATTTCTTCTACTTTCATATTAGCATTTCTTAGCAGCTATATAGCTAATAAATTATTTATTTTATTCATGGAACTTTAATTTTTCCTTCATATTTGAAAGCTATTTTTTGGGTGGTGGGTGTAGAGGTTAGGGGAAAGCTTCCTCTCTTGTATCTAAAAGTTCACTGAAAATTAACAAATGTAACAAATTAATGTAACAAATTTACAATAGCAGGATACTAGAAAGAAAAGGCATACCAGTGTATTTAACATGGATGAGCCCAGGGGAGTTGCTAGAGAATGATAACTCAGTAACTCAGTGAGGTCCAGATGCTTCAATACCCTTCTTCACAGGGGAAAGGGAGATGGAAGAAATGTGGTCATTCTGAAGAGCAGTAAACAATTTTCAGGGAAAATGGATGAACCCAATACTCAGACTATTTTTAATAAATAATTCTTTTTAGGCATTGAATAGGATTAGAGATAAAGATCATCTGGGTTCTAGGTGTGGTGTTTAATTTTTAGATTTTTTTTTCTCTCTGTAATATGAGTTGTAATCTTCCCTAAATAATTAAATTTCAGGGAGGAGATTGAAGATAATTGTGTTTCTCTTTGGTGGGTTCAGTTTCCAAGTAGATAAAAGAACTTCAGAGAATAGCCTGTGCTTTGGAACAAAGTATTGAGAGATGGAGTGAGGAGGGGAAGGTCAGAGAGAATTGAGGCTACTTCTTTAGTTGTATGTCAAAGTGCCATGTTTTGGGGTATCATTTTCTGAGTTCCAGCATTGGATGTACAATGCTAGGTTGATAGTGTTTTACTTTCAGCATTTTGGGATTTCCGTTGGTTTTTTGTTTTTTTTTTTGTTTTTTTTTTTTTCTGATGAGTAGTTTGTTGTCATTCTTGTTGTTCACATGTTAAATTCAGCAACTGAGATGGCTTTGGATAGGACGATGTCTTTAATACGTCTAACAGGAAGGTCTTTTCTTGCTATTCATCCAGCACATAACTTTCGGCGTTGATAAGTGATTGATTGCCTTTGATCCACCGGTGAGCTTGGGGAGGGGCTGATTGTAGCTTTGTTTAGATTCAGTCTGCCTCTACTGTTAAATGCTTTCTAGGTGACTTTAAGCTACCAGCACCAGGAAGTCCCTGGGACCATGCATTGCAAACTTTGAGATCTCAGAACTGTGAGACTTTGGATCTGCTTGACCACGAGCCTCTAAGACTATGAAACTGCAAATGTTGTGGCTCTGGGATAGTTGGACGTTGAGACTGTGAGACGGCAATACTAAGGCTGCGTCTTCTCAGAATGAGAGTCCGGGATTCCTTCTCGTTGGCGCACACCATACATTAGTCACGGGATTGACTCCTATAAAGCATTGCTAGGTCATAAAACAAATATTTTTATCTGGAGTATGCGATCAAATTTTAAACGTTGTTTTAAGGTGTGTGTGTGTGTGTGTGTGTGTGTGTGTGTGTGAGATACTCAATCTACTAATTATGCCGAACTCAGAAGGGGCAGCCAGTCATTTGAAGGTGGATAAGTTTCTATTGCACGTTTGGATTCGATAAATAATGCCATAGGCCCACAGACTCGCCTGCCTGGGGAGGTGGGATGTAATGAACACAATCAGTAGAGAATTGAGAGTGCTGAATAGAAGGTTCCACAGTTAGGCTGTAGAAAAACATGACACACTTTTACTCTATCCAAAACAGTAAGAAACCACCAGATCCCATCTCTCTTCCTTCTCCAATACATATCAAAGCCGTATGGAGACAAGGACATTTTAAAAGAACTAAACTCCACAGGGAGGCGTCCTTTCCAGGTGAGCAGGGATGGAGGACAGCTTCATACCTGTGCCACATGCTAATGCTGAAAGCAGGGGATGTGGAAGAGCAATTCTGTCAAATAAAGCCATTCTCCATTTGGATGAAGAGAAAATGTTCAAAGCTTTGACAAACCTGGGAGCTGAAATGTTGAATTTAAATCTCAAGAAATTCCTCGCCACGAAGTCATTCTTTTACATGGAAGTTTTGCTGCAGAAGGGGCTGAAAAATAGAAAGGGAGACTCTCCCTTCTTTATAAGACGCTTTGTGATACATAATAGTAATTACATCCATTGCCTAATTTCAGAGCGATTAGCTAGTGGGTGTTTTGTGTGTAGCAGAAATGTCAAAGATTATGCAAGATAACCTAAATCCACGAGTGCTATGAAAATACAATCAAGGTTAAGTTTAAGGTCTTTGAAAATGGATTTCATTAAATAGGCAAAATTATCTTACTTGGTTTTCACTTTGGCCATTTGCGAAAGCAATGGATTTTCTTTTTATTGGTTGACATTGATTGCACACAGCAAGTAGGTTTTATATATGAATATTAGAAGCTGAAAAGAAGAAAGTAGATGATTCATAACGAAGCAGGCACATCGGTATGCTAGCTGACATCCCGTCTTAAAGATGAGGTGTGATTGGGATGTTGAAAAAGTTCTGGGGAAGGATGGTGGTGATGGTTGTGTAACAACATGAATATGCTTAATGCCCTGAATTATTTACTTTAAATTGGTTATAATGATAAATTTTTTGTTACCTATATTTACTCCAATTAAAAAATATATTAGGTGTGAGCCTTTGGATTCCATCTGCAGCAAAAAAAGTTCCCCAATAATTGTTCATCCAAATAAAGACTTTGAAGTACAGTGTTAGTAGACCAAATAGCTTTTGTGCTGTGTGTACTTTTGCTTAAACTTCACAAGGAAATGTGAAAATGAAGAAGATATAAATCTGAGTTGCGTTATCTCCCTCCTGTAACAACAATTAAATTGTTGAAGAGTAGGAGGCTGTAGAAATTTCAAACTAATTACTAGCCAATTGGGTGACTTGGAGATTTTTTTCCTTCCCCTTTTCTCTTTCTAGGCTTCTTTTTAAAAAAAAAAAATCTGTAAAATGGTGATAATGATAATGGAAAGTGCTTAGCATAGCGGCTGGCCTCAATTAATGGTGACAATTACTTCAATAAAATCCTTTCCTTCTAAAAGCAGATTGTCAGTTATCTTCCATTCTTCAGTGGTTATGAACATTAGGAACATGGGAATTTCATTGTATTGTTAATTTTGTAAAGCTTTTGGGTGTCATGCCTCAGGACTTAGTAGAATTGCTTTATTCATAAAATTTTTTAAAGGGAATTTTTTTTTTTTCAAGAAGGAGTCTCGCTCTGTCGTGATATCGGCTCACTGCAACCTCCGCCTCCTGGGTTCAGGTGATTCTCCTGTCTCAGCCTCTCGAGTAGCTGGGACTACAGGCATGCACCACCATGCCTGGCTAATTTTTTGTATTTTTAGTAGAGACAGGGTTTCACCATGCTGGCCAGGCTGATCTCAGACTCCTGACCTGATGATCCGCCTGCCTCAGCCTCCTAGAGTGCTGGGATTACAGGCATGAGCCACCGTACCCGGCCTAAAAGGGATTTCATAAAGAATAATGTGAAGTATTTCTGAAAACAAACAAACAAACAAACAAAAAAACATGATGCAGGATTTTCACCCAACCCATATTTCATTTGAAATATGTGAGAAATTAGGTATGTTCTCAGTATGAGTTTGTGAAGTAACAAATACAGTTTTCCACTGAAATTCGGTGATAACACAGACCTCACTGGCTCTCCTTTCTTCTCTGCAGACCTTTGCAGGAAACATGAATGCTGACAGTGTGGTGCACCACAAGCTACTGCACTCAGTGAGGGCCCGATTTGTTCGCTTTGTGCCCCTGGAATGGAATCCCAGTGGGAAGATTGGCATGAGAGTCGAGGTCTACGGATGTTCCTATAGTAAGTACTCACATGTACCCTTTACCATTGCTGAGTGTGAGTGGCATTGCCTACGTAATATCAGTTTATCTACATTGAGACTGACAATCATCTTATTTTAAAGTTGTTTCTAGACTTTCATATGCATATTTTAAAATGTTCGATTTAACCCCAAAGTGGAAAAAACATTCTACTTAGGGCTGAAGGGACTTAGTTGTGATAGTGTAATAAAGGCTCAAGGAAACATTCAAAATTAGGCCGGGCGCGGTGGCTCAAGCCTGTAATCCCAGCACTTTGGGAGGCCGAGACGGGCGGATCACGAGGTCAGGAGATCGAGACCATCCTGGCTAACACGGTGAAACCCCGTCTCTACTAAAAAATACAAAAAACTAGCCGGGCGATGTGGCGGACGCCTGTAGTCCCAGCTACTCGGGAGGCTGAGGCAGGAGAATGGCGTGAACCCGGGAGGCGGAGCTTGCAGTGAGCTGAGATCCGGCCACTGCACTCCAGGCTGGGCGACAGAGCGAGACTCCGTCTCAAAAAAAAAAAAAAAAAAAAGAAACATTCAAAATTAAGAACTCTTGGGGAATCAAGCAACCATTTGTCCTTTGTAGTTAAACAAAATCAAGTTTAGTCCTTGCCCAAAAGTGGCATAAGGTATTATAAAGTTTTCTCTGCCCTGCTTTCGCGGAGCTATGAAAGAAAAGCATTCACTTTCTTGACTTGTTCTAGAAGAAGAGGAGAAAGAACAATAAATGTAATTCACAAAATGCTTTCTCCTTGAAATGATCTCCTTCATCCATTCATCTGTGAATTGTTTGTACTAAATTTGAAATTAGAGCTCTATCTTGGACACGAAGCAGATTATAAACATGGGTAGAACTAGTGATCACTTTAGAATAAGGTTAAAGTTATTCAGGGAAGGTTCCTATCCCTGTGATTCTTTCCTGCCGGCTTTATACTGAAACCTAAAATTGCATAATAATAAATTTTATTTTTCTGCCACAAGCAGTGACATATTCTGCTTATATGCTAAAATCCAATGACACCTAATGCATAAACACATTTGATCACTAACACTTTCATCCAAACTAGTTCAGTAGATTCCTGTTTGGGGCTGTAGGAGTGCCTAATGAGTGACATGTTTGTACTGTTTTCCATAGTGAGATCAACTGAATGCCTGTATCAGAATCAACAGGAGTGTTGCCTAGAAAATGCATTTCCCTCGCCCCATCCCATACATACTGGATTATAATTTCTGAAAACGGAGACCCAAAAAGCTGAATGTTTAAAAATTCTCCAAGTAAACTATGGACATAGAGTGTTTGCTAGAAATAAAGCCCTGCACACAGGGAATTTACTGGTAAAAATGACTGTATTTATCTTGAACAAACACTTTCAGAAAGAATGTAGTTTAGAACAGATGCATCAACAAACCAGTAGGCCCAGGGGGAACTGCCTTCCACTTCAAACTTTGTATGATAAAGCACAGAACACCTACAAGGGTATATGTGTCCTATCCTGGGATCTCTGGGGCATCAAGATTCACTTGTTACCTCCTCTTTGATAACAATTTGTCACTGCTGGGAGGTTATTTTTAAATATAGTGTCAAGCTTTTATGCTACAATTAAAAGTTTGTGAATATCATTATACCAGCCATCTATTTTGATCTAAGAATCTTATTACTCTTTAACATGTCCTTATCCTTTTGGTTTTTCTCAGTCCATTCAGTTGTACTTCTTTTTCATGCTTATTGTTCACCCACACTGTCTGCTTGCACAGAAAGAGTCACAGCATCGAGTTAAATCACAGGCTGCAGCCTTGAAAGCTGTCTTTGAGCAGCATGTTTAGCATCTTCTGGTGATGGACCCCTTTGAGAATCTGACAAGGAACACTCTACTCAAAAAAGTAATAACGATAACATGTACCTTTTCTACGGTATAAGAAGGTTCAGAGGTCTGCTAAAGCCCAGTTCTAAGCCGAGGGAAGAATTCTCGACTTTGTGATAACAGAGTCTACCTCTCTCCATGTAGGCTCCAGGTCTAGTGCGTCCTACGATGGGATAAACTGCCTTCAGGTCAACCTCACCAGTAATGGGAAGTTAACAATCTTGGGGAGTCGTTGAACGCAGAATGTGTTTCTCTATGATGTGCCTCAAGCAGGAACCCTATAATCTTCAATCAGTAGTGCTGATGCTTTGGTACTTTTTTTTATTTGGGGGAAATAATTTTTAAAAAAGAATACATTTATCAGTTTGTATCTAAAGCTAATGGGTTAGCATACCTTCTGAAGCCAGTTCTCCCTTTCAGCATTATCATATTTTTTATTTGACTGAATTGTTTTGTTTCTTCCTTCCTTTCTTTCTCTTTCCTTCCTTTCTTTTTCTCCTTCCTTCCTTTCTTCCTTCCTTCTTTTCTTCCTTCCTTTCTTTTTCTTTCTTTCTTTCTTTCTTTCTTTCTTTCTTTTTTCTTTTTCTTTCTTTCTTTCTTTCTTTGTCTCTCTCTCTCTCTTTCTTTCTTTCTTTCTTTTTCTTTCTCTTTCTTTCATGGAGCCTCACTCTGTTGCCCAGGCTGGAGTGCAGTGGCATGATCCAGCTCACTGCAACCTCCACCTCCCAAGTTCAAGTGATTCTCCTGCCTCAGCCTCCTAAGTAGCTGGGATTACAGGCGTGCATTACCATGTCTGGCTATTTTTTGTATCTTTAGGAGAGACGGAGTTTCACCACGTTGGCCAGGCTGGTCTCGAACTCCTGACCTCGTGATACACCCAGCTTGGCCTCCCAAAGTGCTGGGATTACAGGGGTGAGCCACTGCACCCAAGTCTGACTTGATTGTTTCTATAAACATAAAATCTTATTGTAAGCACCACTAAACAAAACAACAAAACCCATGACCCTCTTTAGCAACTACCTCTCCTTTTCCTCCTCTCTCCTCTCAACTTCTCTTTAGTTGCTCTCCCCACCTGCTCACCTCCCTTCACACTGCAACTGATTCCAATCAATATTGAGACATTTGGTGGGCAGTTTAACATGTCAACTTGGCCTAGTTATAGTCCCCTGTTATCCAACCAAACACTGACATAGTTACTGCTGTGATATACTTGGTGTCTACAATCATTTGACTTTAAGTAAAGGAGATTATCCTAGGTAATCTGAATGGATCTAATTCAGTCAGTTGAAATGCTTCAAGAGCAGAACAGAAATTTCCCTGAGAAAGATGAAAATTCACCTGTGGACTGAAGTTTCACATCCTTCCTGAGAGTTTCCAGCTTCCCATTCTTGATGGCCCGCCGTATGTATTTCAGGCACGTTTAACCAGACCCACAGTTGTATAAGCTAATTCCTTGCAATTAGTCTCTTAATATATATAAGTATCCTACTGGTTCTGTTTCTCTAGGGAAACTCTAAATAATACAGAATGCTCTAGAGAAACTATTCTTCTGAAGATCACCAGTGATTTCCAAGAAGCCCAATTCAGTGGACACTTAATGTTTCTGAATTCACTCAAGCTCTCAGCAGTATTTGATTCAAAAAGCTATGTCCATATTTTTAAAACCTCGCTTTTCCTCCTGTCTCACTTGCTAATTGGCTATCTCAGTTCTTCTACTACTTTTCCATCTACACTCCATGCTTTGCTGAATTGATAGAGTTTTGTAAATTCAAACACGTCTATATGCTGGTCACCCCACATCTGTATCTCATGACTTGACCTCAGAGATGATGTACGCAGCAGCCTACTTGATATTTCCACTTAAAGTATAGTAGATATATCAAATAGAATGTAGAAGAATGGAACCCTTGTTTAGTGGTGCCCTCAGCAACCTGCTCTTCCATAACACTCCTCCCCATCTCAGTAAACAGCAGCACTCTTCATCAACTTGCCTATGCAAAACTCTGGGAAGGATCTCTATTACTTCAAGTCTTATGCAACTTACCTATAGCTAACAGTAACTCTATCAGTTACTTCCTACGAAATGCATCCTAAATCCATGTACTTCTCCCACCTTTGTGAGTAGAAGCCTCTGTCGGTTCTTACCTGGAGTTGTTAAGTAACCTTCTGTCTGGAGTTCCTGTTTCCACACCACAATCTCCCCAGAACCATTTTTAACACAGTCAACAAAATGTTCTTTATAAAGAAGGAATAAAACCATAGCGTTCCCCTTCTTGATTCACGTGAAATAAAATTGAGATTTCTTACTGGCAAGTAAAAGTCCTTGTTGAACAATTGTTCCCAGAATCTACAGGGTTGACTCCTTCTACCAATGTGATTCTTAATTTTAATGTCACCTCTTCAGAGAAGTCCCCCCGACTCTTCCTCTAGTTACCTGTCTTCCTTCTTGTGCACCCACCATTAGCCCATTATTATATGCCCATGGATATGTGATGTGCTGTCATTTACTTTGTGTTGTTCACCACAAAACAGAATCTTACTGGCTGGGTTTGCTTACTTCTTTCTTGTTTGCCTACTCTAGTACCTGCACAGGAAAATGTACCATGAGATCAGGCACCTTGTCTATTAACAGCCAGCACTTAATTGGCACAAAAAGTCAGTCAGTATTTGTCGAATGGGTATATAGATCTATCAATCCAGCCTCATTCAGCTTAGGCAACCAGGTTCTTCCAGAATTACTTGGTTTTAATAAAGCTGTTGTACTTTCTAAGAAACTAGTCTTGTTTCTATGGGCTTAGTAATTTTTTCAGAAGTTTAGTTGCATATGTTGCTAAAGATTGGTAGAATTCTTACAGCTCTATAGTTTCTTCAGACTTAACCCTTTACAGTTTGGAAAAATTAACATATTTCTTCCACTAATTTATTCATTCAGTAGATACCATTTATTTAGCCTTTAAGATACCAGACATCTTGCAATGCTCTAGGAACATCACAAAAAATAAGACCTTTTTCTGGACTCTGTCAGTCTTGTATTTGTACTCCGAAGCACTTTTCTTGTGATTACATGTCATCAGTTAACTGTGTGATTGTCTAACGTCTGCTTCCCCTGACTCGACAAGACAGCTTTCCAC